CCCCCCATCTTTCCCGACCCTACCCGCCGGTCTCCATCCCTCACTCCCCGAGCCTCCTTCCTCCCACTGCGTACCTTCCCTATCTTTCTGATTTTTCGTTGGGGGGGCCGGTTCCGGACGTCCAGGACCGGACACCGGACCCCTACATAATGTTTGGGGGTGTCTGGAAACCGGTCCGGACGTCCAGTCGGTTACCATGGTTACCCTAACATTATTTTTCTTGTGACATCTCAGCAGCCTTTGGTTGCTGTCTTCTAATCACATTCTGATTTTGGGGGCTTTACGATATCCTACTGGTGCGTTCTTCCAGTTTTTCTGTTTCACCAACTTCACCAACGTTTCGTTTTCCTCAGACAAATGACATTTTATTTCGCTGTTCTGTTCAGGAGGACAGTGACACCATCATCTTCAGGAACGGGCCACTTGGTCCTTCTCGGTGTGTTCTGATATAATCGTTATTTCTGCTTGCCCGTTTTGCTTTTCCATTTTTTGAGACAGTTTTGTCATTTAACTTCTGGGAAGTGGTAGATTCAGGCATTTACTATACAGGTTTTCAACAAACGTTTCAAACACACAAAACAGACATTCTGTAATGACCCATCAAAACACAGACTGAGAACACTGCTGATTTCTGAGTTCTCCCGCTGGAATGGATGCCTTGTTGAGATTCCCGCATTCTGCTGAGTTTTCCAAGTCTGTGTGTATGTGCATGCTTGATGGTCTGCGTGCCTGTCTGAGAGCTGGTCGGCCTGAGTGTGTGTGTGACCCGCAGGGGTACCTGCTTGCTTGAAGGCCCGTAGGGCCGGTACTTACCTGTGGCCGTGACATTGAGGGTTGCAGCGGGGTCGCGGGGCGCGAGGCCCATGACACTTAGGGCAGCGGGAAAAACACCAAGTAGCAGGGGTGGTACCGCACCAAGTAGATGTGCCGTGTACTTGAGGCCGAGCAGAAGAAGACAAAGTTGGCATTTTTAGAGGCCCAGTAGCTGTAGGCTAGGTCTAGGCGGGTACCAGTCCAACCAGTCCGAGTCTAGGGCCTGTACGGGCAATATCAGAGTCTGCAATGATGTTTCCCTCCGAAAGGGAGGAGGTACCAGTTGCTTGGGAGGCCGAGCGGCCTGGAAGTCACCGCCCCAGAGGCAAGTAGGCCGCCATATCTTCGGGCTGTGCCAAGCTCAGCCTCATTCTTCGCTGTGCAAGATTGGTGACAAACTGATTGGAGTGTTGGCTGGAGGAGCGCTGGGCACTCCTGCGCTGCTGGGAGGAAGGAGACCAGGAGCTCCCACCTCGGCTATGGTGGAGCTCTACCGGTAGGAGGAGGGAGAAGAGGACTGAGGGGGGAGAGTGGCGAGGTACCTAACTGGCTATGGTGGACACCATCTTCATCACCTTGAAAGGTGCTGCATCTGGAAGGCCCCAGTTGGGGTAGTGCCGCACCAACGAAGCTCGAGGCAGAATCAGGCATGGCGGCTTGATGAGCAGCTGCATTGCGTTGTCCTTTGGACAGGAGC